CCCCCCCTTCCCCACCTCCTCTCTTTTGAGCTGCTTGATAGGTCCACTGGAGGGCAAAATTAATACCTAATTGAATCTTGCAGTCATCAAAATAATCAATAGTTTTTTATTATTTATTCTTCACAGTCTGTTGACTGTTTGAAAGCTCAGAGGGACAGCGTGAGGAGGGAGGCCTGAAATTTTCCGCCGTTTCACAATGCAATTTTCACTGGGGCATGAGAGTTTGCAAGACCTATAAAAAATGAGAAAGGTGTTTTTTTTTTTTTTTTTAAGGGGGGGAAAGGGGGGGGGGGGGGGGGGGGGAAAAAAAAAAAAAAAACAACACAGGAAAAATGGGAATCTTTGCCCCAGCAGCTCGGATGAAAAATAGAATAAACAAGCTTCTGACACTTCAGAGAAGGGGCAGGGTCCTTTCTGTCCATCCCTCCATCCTTCTCCCCTTCCCCTTTTCTCCTTATTTCATCATATCAGGAGTGTGGCGCTGCCGCTCTAATGCTGGCATTCCTCTTCCTGACAGACTCCAAACAAGTGCTGGGAATGAGATCAGAGCTCTAATCTTCCTCCGGCCTCTGAGGCTGCGGGATAAGAAGGAAACTCATCTCTCAGCCTCTGGTACGCTAACTGTTAATTACTTCACGTTCAAAAGAGAAGCCCCCGCCCTCCCCCTCCCTTCTCCTGCTCTGCATAAACGGGATGGGTTTATTAATTAAAACAAATGTGCTAATAAGATGACATGTCGTTATCTAGGTTTAAAAATTGATATTTTCAAAAATTACCATCAGGAATTAGATCAGAGTGATTGGATTACAGTGAGTTCAGAGCCTGTGATTCACACACTACAGTGATGTGATGATGGGAATATTTACACCTGAGGTCAAAGTGACCCCCCCCACAAAGTTCTCTGACTCTAATGATGATTTTTATTTCAATTATTCATGAATAATCGCGATTAATCCACAGCTACGGTCAGGAAATTGTTTTTTTTTAAATAATTTGACATCTTGAAGGATGATTACTTTAGCAGAATATCTCAATAAATAATACACTTTGGGTGTAGGGGGCTGTGTGTGTTCTTAAATGTATGTGGTAGGGGACATGAGGGACTGGATTTGTCCTGTTTCGTCTCTACTCACTCTGTGCGGCCGCTGCTCTCAGGAACAGGTTGCAGGAACAAGAAAAAGCACTTGACTCCCCGCCCTGCTGCCACCACCTCGTCTGCCAAACCCTCCCCGGTGGCTGGAGAATCAGTGGTGAGCGCCGGGTCCCCGGTGTAATCAGATTTCAATGCTAATAGCTGCGTTGGCCTCACCAGCGCTGTCCCAGCGAGAGGCCAACTCTCCACAGCAGCGCTCCACAGCGCCTCCAGCTCCGTCCTGTCATCTTCGCTCAGCAGAGCTACGGAAGTTCAGGAGAAGTTCTGGCCGAGACTCTTGGAAGGTCGTCACGTCCCCACGTCAGACGACCTAGAAATGGAAAAACAGGAAATATTTTCTCACATTAAAATACATATAGACACGATTGCAAGGACAATCGTCATTAACTCAGTAAAATGTTGTAATTAATTATTCAAATTAATTTAATTAAAAATTAAAGGCCTCTATGAAGCTAGATTTTTCGTTATTTTTTGTGTTTTTTTTTATTTTGACATTTTTCGATATCAATAATTCCATCGTTTAAATCAGTCACAATTAAGAAAAACTCAAACACATTCATTCTAGTCATACACAGAAAAAAAGAGCAGTAGTTGATATGAATGTTGATTTAAATTAATGATAATTAATTATGAATAATTGTTATTAACCACAGTCATGATTTAATATAATTAATCCACAGCTGATTAATCATCTTTTACAGGGAATTGACAAATTGACAAATCAACTGCTTCTATTGATTCTCATTCATTCTATTCATTTTTATTTATATTTGTATTTATTTATAATGGCGACACATCATTCAGTCAGTTATCTACCGTGACAGACCAAAGATGGTGGAAAAATCTGTCCCAGAAAAAAGTGATATGTTGCATATTTCTTCAAAAAAAACAAAAGAAATATGTTTTTCTTTTTAAACAATGTATACATATATATATGTATATAATTATAAACATTATATAACATCAACCAATAATCCAATAATTCACACAATAAACTTCAATAGTGTAAGGAGACAATTTTTTTTTTGCATTTTATGAAACAACTAATTACACAATTATCTGATAATATAATATAATTGATTATGAAAACACGTGTTTTTGATCGCTGCTTTAAAAAATATAATTTCTACTATATTGATTTTTTTTTTTACATTTCTTAAGAGCACTTTTTATGACTATATTACTTAAAAAAATACAATATTTTTTTCTAAATATTACTTTAAGGCCAAAACTAACTAAAACACATTTTAAAATGTGTGTGTGTTGTTTTTTTTTTTACAGCGTTCACTGGGTAAATATCCTGAGACGTGTTTAGTGTGTTACGGTTGGTGATGATTTGTCTCCCCCTGAGGGCTATTAACAAAACTGTACTCTCTCAGTATGACGTCCGTGCTTCAGGGGCAATTTCACTGAATCCAGGTCACATATATAAATATATCTATTGTGTTAAAAGGATTTGTCTGTAAACAATCTCGTTTGCAGTGGTTTTATGTAAATTATTACTAGAAAATCTACGCCTCCTCCACAGTCATCAACCTGGGAGACGGAGGCCACTGGTATAAAAGTGTGAGGATCTGAAGTGATTCTCTTTCTCCGCACTCATTAATATGATCAGCAGTTAGCCCTCTGTGCTCTCACTAAAACTAAAATGCTCCCCCGGTGGACGTTGTGCTGGTCAGTGGAGGCTGAGTGCTATCAAAGCAGTGTATTAAAAAGAGCTCTTTGAAGCTTGTAAACCACGGTGCCCAGCAGGTCCACCACAGACAGAGGCGTCTGATTGGTCAGGTGTGTGTGTGTGTGTGTGTTTTTCTTTTTTCTTTTTTTTTTTTTTTAGCCAGATCGATCCACAAAGCTGACATTCTGGAGCATCAAAGCTTTCACTGCACTAATCTGACTCCTCCTATGAGGGCAGCGCTTGTTTTTTTTTTTTTTTTTTTTTTTAAAAAATCCTGTTTTTTCCTCCATGAAATGATGATAACTCAGTGGGGCTCCTGCATGTTGATGACGAGGGGGGGTCGTGTTGTGGATGGGGGGGAGGAGGAGGGGTGAGACTGGGAGGTTTGAACAGGATTGAAAACATTACCATTGAGTTCAGAGGCTATTTATCAATAGATAAATAATGCAGCACTATTGAGAGAAATAGGGAGAGCAACAGAAAATCACAGTGCCGTTCACTGGGCATGACACACACACACACACAGAGCTGCTCCTCAAAGTCAGTCTCCCCCTGACAGCGTCTCTGGAGACCTGCGCCACATACACACTCCTAAAGGTGTGAAAATCTGATTTCCCAAAAAGGATCCGTAATTCTCCGTGAGGGTGGAAGCCACAATCAATAAATCATTGCTAAGTAGATTGTAGAGAAAAATTATTCCCCCTTGGTATCAGTGCATTAGGACTCTCCTGAGGATGGATGAGCCCAGATGAGGGTGAGAGACAATCTCAATAAAGATGAGGCAAATCATACCTTTGGCATTCATCTGGACGCTGGCAAGAGGCAGCTGTCAGCGCGGTGGTGACGGAGGATGCAGAGCTGACTAATGTGTGAAGGATTCATGCGGTCATCATGTTCAGGAATGTCTGGGGAGGGGAAGAAAAATAAGAGAAAAAAAAATAAATGTACAATTTTGGTGTTAAGGTTTCGGTCTTTTACCTCAACGTACGAGCCAACATCGGTCAAGTGCATGTGGCAAAGTCTAATGTTTAGTGTTACTTCATACCTACGTAGTACTGTAAACAAATACTGTACAAAATGTGCTAATGATATACAGTATATATGAATATAATCAATGTAAACAATTAAGAAAAATCTAATAATTCAATTTTGTTTTTTATTAGTATTGTCATTATCAACTAGTGATCAATAATAAAATATGTGGCTCATATTTTTACTGGACTCATTTTTTTAAATAGTAAATATGACTATTATTATTGTAAACATTAATTGTATTAGTAGTAGAAACTGAGTTAGAACAAATTCGAAGCCTCCCTTTAATATTAGGATGACTAAGTTATCAGAAACTACGTCAAAATCTACGATAATGATTTACAAATTTACAAAGCTAATTTACAAATTAGCTTCGTATTACCGAGTTAATTTAACAGACGTAAATACATAAAAAACCGCTCGAATTTTATTTTAAAACCTCCAGTTCGAAGCTTTAAAGTGTAAACAGGCTGCAAGTTCTAAAAGTTGTCAGTAATTAGTAAAGAACGACAAATTAAATCGAAAATTGATAAACGTGGAGAGAGTTGCTCTGTTTTCACCTGCTCCTAATTTACGCCGTGTCGTAAAGTAACTGTTTTCAGCGAGGATACTGCATTACCCACAATACATTGCGCTCCCTTCTCAGTCATGTGATTCCCCCCTCCCCGTGACAAGCCGAAGAAATCGACTGAAAACATAACTTATTGGATTCCCTATGATATAACACAAACCTTTTTTGAGATATTAGGGTTTCTTAACCTGTTTTCTATAATTATGCAGTGAAATAGAACACAATTTGACTCGTTTTATAACGCTACGCAGAGGAACAATGGCGGAAGTGGAGGAGGTAAGCGTTAGCTTCAGCATGATCCGGTTGTTTTTATCCTGCATCACTGCATGAAAATGTCATTATTGTTCGATATTATTGCCTATTGTGACTAATTTAATTTAATTTACATGGCTTACGTTGCATGTGAAGCTTATGTTACTTACAAAAATGTGCAATTTGCCTGTTTTCTCTATAAAATGTGTAGAATCCTTATCCTTTCCCCTGTTGTTTTATCCATCAATCTATTTGTCTCTTACTCTATATGGCTGAAATAAGAGTATTATTTCTTCTCGTCCAGGATGGAAAACACAGTGAAGAATTCACAGATGAATCTGAGGTAAGAATATCCCTTTAATATCCCTCAGTCTGCTGCTTAATGTTCTGATATTGATGATATTAACATCAGAAGTGAAGTGTTACATCAAGACGCACCATAGTGTTTTACCAGTATGTCAATGTAAAGACGCATCAGC